ATTAAAGTTATGTAGTTATTCTATTCTTTGGCGAATTCCATCTGAAAGTGGGGAAAAAACGTGAAAAACTGTTTTTAGAAATTCTTTTGCTTATCCTCCGTTCGACTGTAAATTCATTTGAAATATCGTTGAGTTGAAAAGCGTGGCTCAAATGGGTTTTATTTTAAGGGAAAGTTTCAAGTTTCGCACAATTCTTTTTAAGATTTGTGCAAGGACAAACTGAAAACGTTTTTAATGACTTTGCGAAATACACCTTACAGCTTGGAAGCTAAATGCAATGGTTGGGAGTCCAGGTATATTTGGACTTTCGGGCAGGGTTTTCCTCTTTCTTTAAAACTGGTTGATTGTTGGCTTTTTTTTTTTTTGACTATTTAGGCTTGATTTAAGGTACGATTCATGCGTTCATATTTCATTTTCGAAATTAAGTATTATGCTTATACAAAAGTTGACTTATTAGCGCATTCCCTCCAAATGTTATTTATGTTATAAATCTTTGGGCTAACGATTGATAGTCGCATCTTGTATAAATATTCTAGATCAGCATCAACAGCCGAGTTGTTACTGCCCTGTGGCAATAGTCTAAAAGGGTATTAAATATTCGGCATGCCGAGGTAATTCTTAATTTTTCGTCTCTACTAGCTTAGATAGCATATCATACTTTAGCTGCAGTTAGAGGGCATCTGCTCGTGTAGCATGCCCAACACTTTCGTTTCTTGGCTGTTAGCTGTGCAAAACGCGGCTTTGTGCTTTTCTTTTGGCATGGTTCGATTTCGTCTCTAGCTTTTGATTTCACAGCAACTCTCTTGGCTTTCCAATGGGGGAATGGATGAGCTGTCAGTTCTGGACGAGCGGCACTTGCATATTGGCGTCCATTTATCGGACCGACGCGCCGTTTGTATTTAATGAGCAGAATTAGCCGCAAATGCGAAAATGAGCGCAACTGGCAGCTCGCGGCTGGCGGCAGCTGAAAGCGGACCCAGCACCCAAATTGGGTTAATCTATTTGAAAGTGGCAGCTGGTCTGACGCGCTGATGAACTGCCAGACTGAGGCTGAGACAGTTTAAGTCGTTGTAGAAGTCGTGCGAAAGCCGCTTTAGAAGCATTATTAACAGACACTTTCCATTTTGTCTATTTGCTGACAATGTGTTGGCGTATCTTTCGCTTTCCCAGCGCGACAAATGCATTTCTTTTAAGCCCATTTGTAGCTGCATCCCTTTGGCCGTGCTCTTTACGCTTCATTCGTTTCGCATTTCCACGCTGTGGAATTGCGGGTGGCCGCAAGTCTTGCCATTGATTGATGGATCCGCACGAACCGTCAAACAATGCGATTGTCTTTTTTAAGTTTGTCAACTGTTTGTGAATGAATGACTAGCTAGCGAGCGCTGTTAAGTTAACAGCTGTTAACAGCATGTTAATCAAGATGCCAGAGCACAGGCTGCAGTCTTTCAAAACTTGTTACAGGCTCTGGGTGTTTTTTGATGATGCTGCATGTTATGTTTGGCTGATTAGTAAAACAACATTGCACTGCTTGACAACTGATTGCAGCTAACCCACTCAAGCGCTATGTTAAGCCGCTGTTAAGGTATTACAATAACAGTAAGCTCTTCGGCATGTTATGTAACCAATTAGCTTAAAGTCTAATTTTCTGAGAATGATTTACCGTAGGCTGTTTAAATTGACTGTACTCCTGGGAACTGCTTCGGGTTTTCCATGTATACACAAAGGTTTTTGTTTTGAAAAAATTGAATGTTAGCTCACTTTGCATTCATTAGTTAGTGATTTCTTTAAGAATTCCTAAAAACTATTGCATATAATTCAAAACAAGGCAATATTTTATCAGATTTCATTGCCAAGCTGCTTATAAAAAACTACGCTGCTCAAGTTTTCCATGTAAAAAAGATAACAGCAGTACGTCAACAGTTTAATGTTAACATTACTTAAACATTTATTGCGCCGTTTAAATTTTAATAATAAATGAAGTATGTATTTGAAAAGGTGGATGAATCAACTTGATTTGGTCTTAAACAAACATAGAGAAGTATTGTCTCACCATGCGACCTTTAACGACAAAATTAGCTTAAATTAACTCAAGCTCAAGCGCATAATTAATTAATTAAGAAGAGCTTCTTGGAGGGCATTGGAGCCAAAGTAAATAATGCTTCTGGCTTATTTATCTTCCATTTGAAGAGCTTGCCTAATAGTTGGCTCGTATGCTAATTGATAAGTCACGGCTCGAATGAAAGTGAAGCTCAGTGAAGATTTGCTGTGCACTCAATAGATCAATAAATCAATCAATCTACAGTTTTCAATGCTGTTAACAATATTTGGTTTCAGTTTTTATTATCTTAAGCGCTTAGCAGGTTTTTTCTTTCCATCACGCTCAAAGTTTTCACTTTCGTTAGATGACACCCAGTTTTCGTATCGCGGTCCGCAGTCTCCCGCTTAATTGACTCAGTTTCTTCTCTCGAAATTAGCTAAAAACTCGACAAAAAAAAAAGCAAAAACAACAAAAAACTAGATGACAAGATCTGATTTTTTGTGCTTTTGTTGTATTCATTTTTTTGTAAAATCATTTATTTTTATGCTTTTTGACTGCCGTGTGCTGCTAACCCAAATGTGCACATTCAACTTCCAATGTTCAACGTTTAATGTTTAACTCAACTCTGGAATTACACTATGCAACATAGAAAATAAAACTATTCATATATTTTAGATATAAATGGACAATCTGATTAAGAGCACATTCAAAACAACAATTAGAAAATCAATCCGCTATAGCACAAGGTTTCAAAAGGAAATCATCTTCAAAGACTTGAGTTATTCGATTTTTCTACAGTAAGTCCGAAAAATCATTTGGAAATTGTTTGTAATAATATGTTGTTACCTTTCTAATTATAATCTGGAAAAAGTCGAATTTCTGAAGAGGAATTTATTAAACATGATTTACGATATTTTATTATTAAAATAATATATACTTGTGGAATTTTCAGCATAGAAAAGTACTTTTATGATTTTTTAAAGTCATTGGGCTAATAAAAATGTCTTATTAGTTCCCTTTGATAACGCTTCCCTCAAAGTTAACAATTGAAAAAATTTGTTGTTAAACATTGTAACGTTAGCTAACTGTCAACATTTGACAAGTGCAGCGTTGCCATATCATGTTTGCCCCACGACTTTAAACTGTGAAATAAATGTTTAATATAAGTTTTGTAACTTTAGTAGTCGATTTGTGGCGCACATCTTAAAAAACTTGAAATTTGCTAGACAAAAGAGCAAAAAGGGAAAAGCAAGCGCCAACTCAATGAAATGGCTTGTCATTGAAGCGTTGCCACACATTTATTGGCAAGGTGTTGCCATACCTATGCACCTATGCACACAATCTTAACATTTGCCAGCCGTATTTAACCAGCTGTTAAATTATGTTAAAGCAGTTACATCTTATTTACCCAGCGTTGACGTATTTGTTTACAAAAGTTACATGTGAAAAAACTGGGTTATGCGCGTAAATTGTTTGGATAAAAGAAGTCACATATGACTTCTATATTGATGGATTAATTAATTATGTACGATTTTTTTTAGATTTTGTGTGAACATAGACTGTAATATATTATGTTGCATTTTTATAGAAGGTTGTATTCGAGTTCTGTCAGATCGAGTGAGACATTTACAAGATCATAAATTATGCATATATATATGTATATATATTTTTGATTAACATTCAGAGCTTTGTTATTTGCTACCAATGGATACGATAGGTCAGATATAAAGCTTCTATATAAAATTATTTCCAAGCTTTTCTAAACAGATGCAGTTCTTCAAACAATTGAGCCTATATTTGTTCGTATTAACATTTCCATAATTTTGTAGCATGGTGTAAATTAGGTGTGCGTGCGCTTGAGCTTGTGCTTGTTAGCAATGTTTGACTTTTAACATTAGTTGCCTTTATTGTTTGCTTATTGCCGTTGTTGTTATTTGTTTGGCTAGAGAATCAGTGAAGCTGACAATAAGAAGTTCAATGGCCCAGCGGCAGTCAAAGCTGCGCTTAGCGCACATCCTGTCGGCGAGCCGGCTTATTATACAATATGCAGACAGCTGACAATGTGTACAACAATGACAACGACAACAACAACACTTGTTGCCTGCATACTGGTATTTGGCTAAAACATGCAATTGATAATTGTTATTGCTTCTTGTAATTGCAGGCCACACACACGCAGAGACAGAGCGAAGCTCATAAACAATCAATCAGCAGCAATCAGCATCAATCATAGCTAAAATCACAGCAAATTGGAGCTGGAGCTGCTGCTGCTGCTGTTGCTGTTGCTGCTCTTGCTCTTCAAGTGAAAGCTACGACAAGAGCAACTGTTGCTGCTGTCGCGTCTGGCACATAATTCAATCAAGCGCAAAGTCAACGCCATTACACGAACGCGCCCCAGACGCGGTTCATAGCGCCCCAGAGGCAGCCCGGGCCGGCCAGCTGCCGCTCCCCCGCAACAACAACAGCCGCAGCCCAGCCGCTGCTCAGTCAGTCAGTCAGTGAGTCAGAGAGACGCTGAGACATCGCTGCAGACGCCATTGGCCGTGGCCAGGAACCAGTCAACAGCAAACGGCAACCAGTCACGACCGCAGCGACTGTTGCTGTTGCTGGCAGGTTCACAAATAAGTGAAAGTGAATTTGTTTATGGTATATTGCTATTACCAAAGCGAAAGAGACATAACACTCAAATAAAAAATAAAAAAGAGCTTAACGAACAAGAAGAAGACGCGTTAGCAGCCCAAATCATAGCAACGCGAGCAATGCAATTGCAATTGGCATAAAAAAAAACACTCAGCAGCAACAGAGAGCGAGCGAAATAGAGCCTATTAGAGCTCATCGTTTCAATGCTAATTGACACTGTGCTCATTGAATAATCTACAGCAACAACAACAGCAACAACAACAGCAACAATAACAACAGGAACAGCAGCAACAACAGCAACATGCAACACATTTGCCTCACGCTGTCGCTGTTGCTGCTTGGCACTCGAACTTGCGGTAAGTAGACGCCAGTTCCATTATCTAATTGAGTTATACACACACACACACACGCACACACACACACACGCACACACACACACGCACACTTTACCTCTCTGCTAATTGATTTATTGTGTGCGCGTAAATTGTACAACTAACTTGAACTGAGGATGCTTTCAATTTTCAAGTTTTTGTCTTTTTAAGTGACACCCACACACAGCCCTGCACACCATCCCCCCCCCCACACATCCCTTCCCCCGCAAACACCACCACACAGCCAATTGCAAGGCCAGCGGGTGGGCTTGTTGGGCGGAGTGCCCGTTCAACTGTGGGCGTCTTTCAATTTATGTGGCCTCTTCGTCGAGTTTCACTTGACAAATTTTTGCCATTGAGCGACGCGCAAAACACTTCACAGATTGCACAATCGCCATGAATACCACAGCTACACACACACACACACACACACACAAAGTGTGTACACATGTAATCGGAAATAGTCAACAAGTCGAAGAAGCGATTGCAATACCAAAAAAAAAAAAAAAACACAGACACAACTTTAAAATGGCAAATGAAAACAACGAAAGTCACAAAACGCGCCCCAAGAAACAACAAGTTAATTTGTCTGACACACAGCTAAAAAGCCTCTACATAAAAAACAAGTATACATTTGTTTCTATCAAACATGGACTTCAGATTCGCAATAAATTCGACAAGACTGTCAACAGCGACACTTAATAAAGTTTCAAAGACTCGCAACAACTAAGCAGCAAATGGGACAAATCTGAAGAACGAAACTTGAGCCGTGCAAGTCAGGGTAATATTCAAGACTGTATGGCATGCTTGGTGGCATTACCCAGCCTTGCGCGGCTCAGGGTTACTTTCACTATATTTTCACCCATTTTCCGTGCGTGAGAGATTAAATATAATCCCGATAGTTACGTGGAACTGAGTTTGGATGAAAAATAAAACTCGTAAGTGCTCTGATCGGGAGTATTTGACTACAAGATAAACCGAACACATGTAAAACCAGTAAATCGATGAATGGCTTCTTCCGCAGAGCCCAGCCTATGGTAAATGTGTTCCTGATTAACTTCAGTGTTTATTGTTCGATTTGTTTGAAATATTTATGGCATAAATATGTCGCCAAAATATGTGTTAATACCAAATCGCAAGGCTTCAGCTTTTTTAAATGATGCCTTATAATGAAGTCTGATATATTATAGACTTGTGTATACTATACTATAGCCTAGCACAAAATTTGTATTTAGTGTATTTAGCCCTTAAAGTTTTTGAGTTATGCCTAAAAATGTACATTTAAACGATATCCATCAGTATTATGGAAATAGGGCAGTATATCGGAGGGGAAGTATATTTAAAGTCTTTAGCTTCTGTAGTTTCCGAGATCGATGAGCTTATACAGATGGACACACGGGGGTCTCTTCAGACCAGATTGACCAAGAATATGAATCCTTTATATCCTCGGCGATGCGTCGCATACATTAGCACAAAAACTTAATAAACTTTAACCCATTCGGTTTAGAGTCTAACTTCAGTTAGTTAACTTCTTTCTTTAACGATTAAGAGCATAAAATCGCATAATCAATTTGAATGTTTGATCCACGTCGCACATAAAAGCGGGTTGCATTTTGCGAAAGCTGTGTAAAACGCTTCAAATGAATTTTCACAAAGATTTTATGCGAAACGTTTTCCGTAAATTTTCCACACTTGTCGGTGGATTTTTCTATGGTGCTGTTTTATCTACTTCTGCATACAACATATATTGTCGTCTATGCCTTTATTTATATATTTCTGCATAGATTTATCTATATCAGTGTTATCTCAACTCTTTTAAAGATCATAGATTTTCCTTATTGCTTTTGGTGCTGGGTCATGAGTCGCGCTCATAACTGCGGGAAATGCTTCAGCAATTAGATTTAAGCACCTGTCGTGTGGGTCATAAGCGTAAAGTGTTTTCCATTGTCTCTCAAAAACTTGGATGCATTTGGTTGCATAAGTGCCATAAGATCCGTCATGCTGATTAATGTAGGGTGCTTAGCGCTGTTGTGTCTGTGCATTAGCTGGAAAAGCACTTCAAAGATGACGGTATAGAAATAGATTGTGAATATATATATATATATATATATTGCCAACAATATAGAAGCAAATAATTATGTGGCTCAAGAGACGGATTTCGATAAAGTCTTATGCATGCAAATTGAGTTGCAGATAAAAGTAGATCTATGAAAATCGCAAAGTATATAGCTATGAGTACAGCCATAGTTAAAGGCGCGGATAAATATTTAGATATAGAAACATGATCTAGAAATACATATTGAATATAAATATAATATGATCATAATAATTTCTGTACAAATGGCATAATGAAAAGTGATATTGTATCAGAAGCCCAGTCTAGAGAGCAGGATCCGGAGACATACTTCTAATGCTGCAATCTCTTCCTGATTGGCCATTTTAGTGTCTCCCGATTGCCTGTTCTATAGCCAGATGATAATCGTATACGCATATTAATTGCCACTTGCCACGCCGTGTGTGGCGTGAGGCGAAGCGTGGACAGATTTGTGTTTGTCATTTTGGTTTTTGGCCACTTAAGAAACGCAATCACGACTCGGTAATTTATCATCGCTTCCAGCTAACGGCCACATATATATATATATATATATATATATATATATATATATATATATATATATATATATAAAACATAACTATCTTATGGCTTGTGCTGGGGTTATGTCATCCGCACGTTCCAAATTATGGCGCAGTGTCTGAAAGCACAATATGGAAACATTTTACGCGCCTGCCATTAAAAAAATGCCAACAAGTTTTGTTTTCTTTCATTTTTATGTTCTTTTTTAATGGCTTTTTTTTTGGGAAAGGTTCTAGAATTCTTAGAAGGCAGCGATCGTTTTATTTGTTGAATACTATTTTGACTACAAAAATAGTTTAACAAGTCGCTTCATCTACTTCGTTCTTAGTTCCATTCGCTCTCTCTTTTGACTTCGTCCTTTACTCTCTCTCTCTCTCTCTCTCTCTCTCTCTCTCCGTTTCTGTCGAGTTATCGTCTTTTCTTTTTCTCTTCCCTTATTCTCATTTTGTGACTTTACACATTCACTCTTAGAACCGCTCTCTCCATTTTCTGAACATCGCCTTTCTATGCAATTCTCATCACCTTAAATTTATTTCCATTATTTTACGCCCACTTACAACTTTGATTTTTTCTCAAATATAACTCATAATCCCGCACTCTCGACGATATGAGTTTTTATGAGTCAACAAGTCTGATCAAGTGTTGGGTGTTTTTATCGTATCCAATCCATTTTCGAGCCGTTATATTTATCTTTGGAGATATCTATAATTTCCATTCTATTGCGAACGATCGCACGTGCGTCGCTTGCAAAGTGTCACATTTTAGTGCGATAGAAATGAATGGTAGCCAATTAATGAACAAATTCATATATTGCTCATCAATTATAGCGCTTGGCGAGAAGGCGAACAATGCGACCACGCCCACACTGATGAGCTATGCCAACTTTACGGAACTCTCCGAGGCGGTGCATGCCTCACTGCTGGCGCATGAGCAGCTGCAGCGGCAGCGCCAACTGTTGCACGGACGGGCCAAGCGGGCGGTGAAGCGCGTCTGCTACGGGGAGCTGGGCTGCTTTGAGGACTCCGGTCCGTTTGCCTATTTAGAGATGCTGCCCTCATCACCCGAGGAGATCAATACCAAGTTCTATTTTTACTCGACACGTCAACGCTCGGATCGGCCGCTCATGGAGCTGTCATTTCTCAATATGACTGCGGCGTTTGCCAAGGCTAAGGCCAAGGCCAAGCGCGAATCTGAGACGCCAACGCCGCCGGTCACAACCAGCGCGCCAGCGGGCACAGCTTCTGCGCCTGGCTTGAATGTGACCACCGACAAACCGAATGTCATGGGCGGCAGTCCAAAGAAGCCGCCGCCGCCATCTATCGATGATCTGGAGGGCTTCGACGAACTTTCTGTGCGCGTGATTGTGCACGGCTTTGGCTCCGCCTGTCCGCACGTATGGATCTATGAGATGAAAACAGCTTTGATGGCAGTGGTGAGTAGCTGACTTGTAAATTCAAAATTCAGTAGTGAGTAGCTGATGCGGTTGGCAATAACATTTCCTACATATCCTAGTTAACATGTGTTTTACAACTGACTAGTAAATTTAACATGCAGTGGTGAGTAGCTTAAAGGGTGACTCATTGCCTAAAGATTCGTTCCCAGCAGTAGCAATTATAGTTGGGTTTGCGGTGTATCCACATCTGAAAGTGCATTTGCCACTGAATGTTGTATCGAGTATTAAGCAAGCTCAACTATTTCGGTTGCGTTCGAACTACTCGGTTGACTCAAACATGTTGCTGACTCGAGCGGGTCGAACTTCGCGTATTGCGCGAATCGGTTATTTGAACGCTGTTCGATTAAGTATTCGAGTTCGTTGCGCTGTAGTTGAGATCTTATGCTTAATTTCAATTCTATTTCATTATTTTTTAGGAGGATTGCATTGTCATCTGCGTGGACTGGGAGAATGGCGCTACCTTTCCCAATTATGTGCGCGCCGCGGCGAATACGCGTCTGGTGGGAAAGCAGTTGGCCATGTTGCTGCAGCATCTGCAGCAGCACAAGGGTCTGAATCTGATGCGCACCCACGTGATTGGCTTCAGCCTGGGGGCGCATGTCTCTGGATTTGCGGGCGCCGAGCTGCCTGGCTTGTCGCGCATAACCGGCTTGGATCCGGCTGGGCCGCTATTCGAGGCGCAGCATCCGAAGGTGCGGCTGGACAGCAGCGATGCGGAATTCGTGGATGTCATACACTCGAACGGCGAGAATCTAATATTGGGCGGCCTGGGCTCCTGGCAGCCCATGGGCCATGTCGACTACTATCCGAACGGCGGGCGCGTCCAGACGGGCTGCTCTAATCTGTTTGTAGGCGCCGTTACGGACTTCATCTGGTGTAAGTCCAAACACAGTTCACAAATCAATTGCGTGCTCATCTTTCTGATCATCTTTCACAGCTGCCCAGGCGGCGGAGGATGAGGAGGGGCGTTCGCTGTGCAATCATCGGCGCGCCTATAAGTTCTTTATTGATTCGGTGGCGCCGCGCTGCATGTTTCCCGCCTTTCCGTGCGCCAACTACGATGATTTTCTCAAGGGCAAGTGCTTCCCCTGCGCCCAGGACGATGAGGATCTGGCCGAGGGTGTGCCACGCTGCGGCAACATGGGCTACTATGCGGATAGATCGACCGGCCGGGGTCAGCTCTATCTGCTGACGCGCGAGGAGGAGCCCTTCTGTGCTCATCAATTCCAATTACAAATCTTCAACTCGTTCAACGATCTGCCACTGCGCACCATTGGCCGCCTCGAGGCCATACTCGAGGGCGATGGCGGCCTCAACGAGACCTTCGAAATATCCGAGTGAGTATCAAAATGTTGCCTGCTGCTCCAGCTGGTATCCATTTTCAATGGGTCAAAAGGGTTAAATCTTCTTGTGCTTTTGTATGTAACAGGCAGAAGGAGGCAACTCTGTACACATAAAGTATATATATATTCTCGGCCAGCACTTCGAGCTGAGTCGATCCAGCCAGACCTGAAGAGACTTTCGTGTGAGCGTGGTCCAAAACTCCAATCTCCAAAACTATTAAAGCTTAAGACTTTTCATTCTCCTTTGTCATATGCAAAACGAGCTTATAATATTTGATCGATATCTCGTCTCATTTCCATAATAGCGATAGATATCGATTTTAAAATATTGGTTTTTGTTAGGGCTTGATACACAGCTCTGAAATATTTCACATTTTGGATACCCAGACTCATCCCCTCCTAAAGTGAAAAGGCGCATTTAAGAGAGCCTAGCTCTTCAAGGAAGTCAGAATGTTTCTAAAATTTAGCCTGGTGCTGGGTTAGGGCTAGTCGGGTACCCCAACTTGAGAAGTCATATTTTTCCAGGGTATATCTCTTACCCTGGCAAACTCGGCTAGTTATCTTCGAGTCAGCTAGATGAGTCTTGTTTTTACTAGTCGAAACATTTTTATAAAATGAATTTTAAAGCTTAACCTATTTTTTTTTTTTTGCCTCCTGATCAGAAACTCCCGACAAATTGCGTTTTTACGGTTACAACCAATTATTTCCTGAATGTCCGAATTTCGCTAAGAACTTTATGAAAAATCAACATTTTTCAATAAGTTCAGGCACATGTAATGCATGTGACTTATTCCTAGGCCTCTTCATAACTTTTTTTTTTTATTTTACTTATTATATTTTTATATTTTTTATTTTAAATATCGCTTGTGTTCATGACTTACCCATTGTGAAATTGCAGAAAGGACGATGCGGAGTTCTTTGCCGGCGACATTGTGTCCAAAATTATTGTGCCACATCCAGCGCTGGGCTTTCCCACCACGCTTAGCCTGCACTATAAGTCATACAGCGGCTGGCTGTCGAAGGGCCTGCCCCACTGGGACATTGATAAGGTGGTGCTGACGGACAGCTTTGGACGCAGCCACTCGCTCTGCCGGCCCAGCACCAAGCTAAGCAGCGGCAGTCCCGTGCGCATGCGTCTGCAGGCGGGCAACTGTGAGCTGGACAATCAGGATGACTATGGCGCCTATACTACTCAGCCGCCGGCTGGATTACCGTCGAGCACGGACGCACCCGAGTCGGACTCCAGTGGGCAGGCGTCCGGTCTGAGCGCCAGCGTTGATGGGGTCGAGAGTGTGAAACAGCGCAAGGATATATTCAATTTGGGCACCAGCTTTAAGCTTGCACAGAATCAAACCTATCCGCTGGACCAAACGGATGAGCTGCCCTGGCAGCCCATACTGGTTGGCAATTCCCTCGACAAGGACAACACCGAAGCGGAGCCGGCCGAGTCCAGTCGCAGTCTGTCCGATGCTTTGGCGCCCGGCGAACAGCCGATCAACGAGATATTCGAGCCGGTGCTCAAGGATCGACGGTTGGCTGTCAATCGTGGACGCAATCTACACGATCCGGCCAACACGTCCGAGATTGTGGAGCCGGTGCTCAAGGCGACCACACCGCGCGCCAAACAGGGCAAGGATCTGCAGCTGGCCGAACCAGTGGATGGCAATGTCAACGCCAGCTCCACGGACACTCCCGCTCTGGCCACGCCGCCCAAAATGATGGCACAGCTCTCCAGCGGTGCAGAGGAGCCGCAAACGGTGCAGTTGCTGCCGTTCCGGCTGGGTGAGCTGCTGCAGCGCGCCGAGCGCTACGCAAGGGAAACTCTGCTGCCGCTCATATCTGTGCAGGCGCCGCGCTTCTTTGGCTTCAATGTGACGCCACACGATCGTGAACTGGCCCGACCCGGCGAATCCCGTAAACCTCGCTACATACCACGCTACGAGGAGGCAGCCTTTCTCAACAGCAACAGCAACAGCAACAGCAGCAGCAGCGGACAGCAGCGCCGCAGCTCGGATTCGTTAGAGTCAACGGATCAGGCGGCACGCCGCAATCTCTTCCGTTTGCTGCGCTCGAATGGGGCACGCGGTCGTGCCGCCCAGCAGCGGCGGGCGGCTCCGTTGTCCATCCGGGAGCCAGACCAAAACGACTTCAACTATTACACGAATATGCTGCACACGGAGTCGCGTTCGATGCGACCCGAGGCACCCGAGTATCGGCCCGTTTTCGTTGAGCTGCCCACATATCGGCCGCCTGTCGCCGGCCAGATAAAGGCCACGGCAAAGGGTCAGCGGCGTGCACGCCTGCAGCGAAGTCCCTGAGGTTTCTGGGCGCTAGGGGTCGGGAGATGGGACGCAGCTATAAGTGAACACTATGTGATATGATAAACAGAGAGCAGCTCTGCTGCAGCGCACAGTGGGGCTGCTCAGCGTTTTCGTCGAGTAAAAAAATGTCCTGGCCAGAACTCAAACGCATTTTGGGGCCCCAGACTCGTCGTACCAAAAAGCTTCACCTTGCACTGTAAATAAAAGTTAAATGGAATTTGAATTGAATTCGCACAACATCGTTTCGCTGTTGACAAAGAGTTCTCTATGCATTAAGTTTAGGCGTTAAGTTTATAATGTGAACAATTAAATAAATTATTAGCATGGTAAGCATAACATAAACCGATGTATTTAGCTTCTAAATGGATCTCCATAAAGGAACCATCGGTAGGTAGGGTTATTAAATACAGCCTCCATTGAAAATGGGCTGTAATTGGGGTTAATTTGATTTGCACAAAGCAGAGATCGTATTCGTATAACAGAATGACGAGTCGAGTTTATCTAGCCGGTCTGTCTGATCGTCCTTTTGGTAAATAACACACAAAAGATTTCGAATTTTAAATATACTTAGATTATCGTATGCCACACACAGCACAAGGATTCTAAAGCATAGATCGACATTTTTCAAGTTGGGAGCATTAATAAAATAATTTAAATGTCGATTTCTTTCTCCAAAATATCGATAAATATCGAAATTATTAGAATTGTAACAGCACAAATACATAAGGTCGAACCTTACGCCTTCCAATACGGCCTATATATAGTATATATGTTATAAGGATAAATAAGACGTATAAAAAGCCGCTATTTTAATATTATGGTTATTTATAGTTATCTGTTTTAAAAAGTACGATAATTGGTTCGACTTAAAGTTAAATATCGATAGGCAAATTGTTATATTTGAACTTACCGTTTAGTGTAAATATTGGCACCAATAGATGTATGTCTTATAGTTGATCGATAAATATTGTTGTAATAAACAATGTTTCCAGCCTTTGTTATTATATATATGTAGAATAGTATACGATGATCGATAAGTGTTGCATTCAGTTTCAAGTGTGATATTACGGCCGACAAAATTGGTTTTGGTTTCGATAACATACATATGCATATACATATATATGTCAGAGCATTATGTTCTTCGCAGCTGGGCATACTAACTAAGCAGCACATCAAGTTCATTCAAAATGTTCGTCTCTGCCATTTTGTACTGTTACTCAACACTGAATACAAAACTGAACGGTATACATAACACTGGGCTCAAAATTGGCTTGGCTATTGATGCTGATTAAGAATACATATACTCTATGGGGTCATCTGCCTGTTACATTCGTTTGCACAAACACATTAAACCCGTTTTACCTATTTTTAATGGGTTTTGGGTATAATTAAAGGAACTAAGGATAGATATGTATTGATGTGTAATTTATATATGATCAAGGTATCTTAAGAGTCAAAAGTTGTTCAAGCAACGACTTAGTTTCGACCGACAGTTCCCGTGGCAAGATCAAGTAGAGATGTGTATATTTTTCGATGATATATGCTAAGAAGATTTAATAGAATATCATAAGATCCTGCAAAAGGCTCTAAGAAGACTTGTTTGTTGGTTAAGTTGCCGTCCATTGTATATGTATTCGTGATCAGCCTAAGAGTTTTTTGATTTAAGGCTAGTTTGAATAAAAAGTCATGCGTTGCAATTTGAGTTGTATTTTTGTAAGTTGTTCTTTTTAGCATAATTTATTTTTATATACTTTTTCATTTAATTTGCTTTTATGTTCATAAAGTAACGTGTGTCTGCCTCTGTCTGTGTCTGTGTGTTGTGTGTATGTGTCTGTGTGTGTGTGTGTGCGTGTTGTACTTAGATTGGATCTGCCTTCTCAACTGATGCCTTTCTCATATATGTATTACATTTACCTATTAGGTAGACCTAACAATATTATTTCTCGAAGCTGCTTAATTTTGGATCCGATTCGCTTACAATTTAACATGGCTTGTAAAAATTTATTGAAATTTATTGAAAGTCGAACGGTTAATTTTGTGCTTGCTCATTTTGGTATTATTTTGGTATTTTTTGCTGGTATTTCTGTTGTGTGTTGTTTCTTATTGTTCTTTGTGTTGTTGTTGCTGTTGTGTCTGTTTTTGTATCTTAGTTGTTCTCATATTTAATATATAATAATTTTTTTTGTTTCGCTTTTTTGTTTTGGTTTAACTATTTATAAAACATTTCACTTTTAGAATCTTAACAACGTTTTTTTTTTATTTTATTCTTGCTTTGTTTTTTTTTCTTTCTTTTTTTTTAATTGCTGCGGCGTATTTACTTTAATTATATATATATAAATATTATATATATAATGTATGTATATTAATTTTTATGTTATATTCTTTTTCCTTTCCATTTGTTTTTAATTTATTGTTGTACGCATAATTTACATGGAATTTCTGCTTAATTTGCTTCCTTGCGATAGTTTCGCAGCATTCCTTTTGCGCTTTTCATATAATATTATACTGATTTCTGCGTTTGTTTTCTTCTTTTATAACTATTAAAAAAATTGGTTGCTGCTGACGCTTGAAACAAAATGAAATTGCACGTGTTCTAATACTTTTTTTTTGTAGGTGTGTGTCAGTGTGTGTGTTAGATCATAATATAACTATGCATTATTATCATAATTATTTGCTTTCTATGCCCTTGCAGTCTGTATTTTAATAATGCCGCCTGACATGCCACCTTTTCTGTGGTTACACATGGAATTGGAACAATGTAACTGTCATTTTCTGTAATATAATAGTCATTCAGTTTTTCTTCTTAATCTAAAACAAGTAGACTTTAATTTTCTGTATGCTAATAGTCATTTGCTTATGTTCTTCTTTCTTTGGAACAAGTCGAATCGGAACACTTTAGGTTTTAGCTACCATTGTTCATAAAATTGGTTATTATTCGTTCATTAGCTTATTTTCGGAACGGGTAGAATCGGAACAACGTAAAAATATAACTGACATTAGCTGTATGCTACTCATTCGGGTTTTCTTATCCTTTTGGAACTTGTGGAATCGGAACAATGTAATTATTTAACTGACATTATCGGTATGATAACAGTCGTTCATTTTTTTCCTCCTTCTGGAACATGTGGAATCGGAACAATGTAACTGTTTAACTCACATTATTTGTATGCTAACAGTCATTTGTTTTTTCTTCTTCTCTTAAAAAATATTTAATCGAAACAATGCAACTGTTTGACTGCCAGAATTTCAAATATTTGTTATAGCAATTGTAAATATTTCAAAAATCAATTTTCTTGAATTACATGGGAATGAAACAAAATTACAAGTGAAACTTCAATTGTTGTATGAGAAATTTAGTTTGTTTTCGGAGATATCTTTAGTGAACTTATCAACGATAATGACAAGGGGCAAAGAGTTACTCTAGTAAAGCGGACTTGAATGCAGAGTTCTTAAAAATAATTTTGATATTAACAAATCTGCAAGGGTATTCAGGGTTCGGCATGCCGAAACTCTTCACTTTTTTTTTTATTTGTTGAGCTAAATATTTCATTGATTTCTTGTTAATTTTTTTTGTGTGGAGAGTAAAGAAATTGATGAGAATTAGATAAATGAATAAAATGTTTATCAAAATTATCTGGGCTTAACTGGCTTGAATTTATCTACTATGGATGCCTGTACATACATACACACATGCGGGCATGTACATACATGCATATACATATATATATATATATATACACTAATATCTGTTAAATATGCGTATTTATATTATAGTAAGTAGTTAGTATCCTTTGCTTATAATTCGAATGCCTTTCGAACGCTACGCATATGTATTTGTATTGACATTGTTCTCATTTTATATGTGATTACATACGTATGTGTATTGCATAATACAGACACACATATATATATACATACGTATATGTGTTTATTTTATTTTATTTTTTCATTTGCTTTTATTCCAGTCTTCTTTATTAATGAATTTCTAAACCAAATTTGAAAATAGGCAACGCAAATTGACAACTTTATTGGTAAGATTATTCTCTCTTTATAAGTTAGTATTTTGTGTTTGGTATTTTTGGTATTTTCTTGTTTGTTAGCATTATGTATTTTGTTGGTAGTTCTGTTTCGGAAATTGTTACTCAATAGCAAAGCTCAGCTTGAAGGTTGCAGTATAAGATTTCATAATGATTATTGTTAGTATTATTTGTATTTTAATTTTTGTTTTTTTTTTTTTTGTTTTTAATATTATTAGGAGTATTATAATAAGGTTTGCCTATGTTAAAATGCCTATTAAACTAGATATATAATTATATGCTGCTGCTGCTGGCTGAACTTTAATTTTCCCTAGGCCATAGACTAAACGCCTTCTCAGTTATTGAGAGAGCTTAGTTTTATTTATTTATCGATTAAACTCTTTTTTTTTTTTGGTGTTTGTGTTAGGTTTAATGTTTAAACTTAATTATTTTGGCAAGTTTATTTTATATTTCTTTCTCTGTTTGGTTTCCTTTTTTTTATATGTATGTTTTATATCACTTTGTTTTTTAATGTCCGGCCTGGCCAAGTTAGCCCAGACAAAACGTTTCTGTCCCTTCCTCCCTCTCGCTCGCACGCTCTCCAGCTCTCCCGCTCTCCCGCTAGCTATCTCACTCGCGCGCTGTTGCCCTCCTGCTCGTTCTTGCTCTGTCTGTCTTTGTCTTTAGTTTCTACTTAGTAAGCCTTGTCTAGCATTAGAATAATTTACTTGGTAAAAAACAACAATAAAAAAAAAAAAAAAAAACTTCTCGCATGACTTGAAGACGATATGTTTTTTTTTTTTAAATTTGTTTTGTTTGCAAATTGTTGTTTGTTGTTTGTTTTAGTTTTTTTTATGTGTTTTTGTTACTCGATATTTAGTTAGAATTAATAATATTTTATAGTTTATTAATAATAATTTGTATGCATATTATATGTATATCATTGCTCTTTGTTTTTTTCTTTGTTGTTTTTTATTTTAATTGGCTGCACTCGAACAACTCGTTACTCGTTTGATCTCAGGAACCGAACCAAAACTCACGAAAACTAATCACAAAATCATATTTAATCATATATTATATTATATTATATGTATATACATACAAAATATATAATATATAATGTACAAAAAATACACGTATGGGCGCCCAAAACGGTTACTTCAACTTTTGTTTCATATTAACTAAATTTTGCATATATCATTTTTTTTGTTTGCTCATTTCATTTTGTTTTGTTGTTTTTTTTAAGGCCAAAAATCAAGTATACGTTAAATATGTACTCTATACTTTTTGCAGATCTCAACGCTAAGTCGCTTTGCTGTTGTCGTT